TCTCTTCTCTTCTCTTCTCTTCTCTTCTCTTCTCTTCTCTTCTCTTCTCTTCTCTTCTCTTCTCTTCTCTTCTCTTCTCTTCTCTGTCCTGTGCTATCCTATGTACTACCTCCACAGTATAAATTTCTGTTCTCATGGCAACAAGCAGGATAGTAAGAAGCAAAAGCTACACCAGGCCTGCACACCTTGTAGAGGGGAAAGGGTCACATTGATAAATTAAAAACCACCACAGGCTGCAAAGGGGTGCCTGGCATGCCGATCAGCTGCTCAGCGTCTAGCAGAGCAACAGCAGTGCTGGAGCTGGTGGCCGGGGTGAGGCTTGAAGGCCCTGATCTACACTGACCTTAATGACTTGCAATAAACCTGGCAACTAACACAGACCGAAAAAGGAACTTCTGTTTCAACCAGCATTAAAGTTTAACTGCACTGAATTAAATATAGATATGTATGAATAGGTTAGGTTTATCACTGTCCTTTTTTTTATTCCATTCTGGTTTGGGATCAACTTACATGCACTTTCTCCAGTCACCTGTTCTTTGTATGTCATTTTTTGCAGGGATTTTCCTCTAATGCAGTTTCATTGCTTTGTTAATTGTTAATGCTTTCCTTCCGTTAAGTTTTCTCCTAAAAATTTTTATGCACATTTTCTTGATTTAGAAAACAGTGTTGCACATGTTGAGGAGAGGAGAGGTCCATGACCTAAGATCTCAGACCTGCTCCAAAAGTTGCTGCCATCTTGAACTTTTTAATGGGGGAAGTTATTAAGTGCCAAGGGTGCAGTTCTGTTCACTAAGTGGTCTGGGGGCTCAGATGAATGTTTCCTCACTCATCCTGAAATGCCTTGGACCCAGCCTTCTCTGACCCTCTTTATTTCTCTGGGTATCTGAACGATTGCTGAGCACAGAGACAGCCTGTAGTCTGAAGTGCTAGATCTTAGAAAGAATGGAGTCAGCGAATGAATTCAGAGGAGAGATCTTTCTAAAAACAGTGCTCCTTAAGGTGGCATGTGAACATGGCTTCTCCCTGGACACGCTGTTGTCCCTGCTCCAGACACAAGGCTGATATTACTCTAGGACATCTTAACCTTTCTTCTGCTTTTCCTCTCAAATGTGTGGTTGGCCTGGGGTTGTAGTTTTTTGCTGCTTTGCAAGGCTAGGCGAATCTCTCTGTTGTTGAACGTGCCACGAGGTGGAGTGAAGTTGGTTTGTGCCCACTCAAAGGGGGGGGGCACCACTGAGAGGCCTGCCCTTAGTCCACAGCTTGGATTTCTCAGGAGGAGAATTAATCTGCAACACACCCCTCTCAATGGGGGACAAGCAGAATTCTCTTTTGACCAATGTTTCTCTTGAGTTCTCTTTTTTAAAAAATTCAATTACTAATGTATGTTCACATCTTTTTTTCTTTTTTTTTTAGACTCTACCAGCCCTTATTTGGGCTGGACTGACTTAAGGCTCCTGGATTCATACATGCCCCCTAAAATTTCTTTCCTCCCTCCTATCCCAGGCCTACCTCTGGAATTGCTGGCTGACACCCTGTCATGCATGGCACTTTTTGATTGTTTTTTCTCTAAGCTAGATAAGAAGTTTCAGCATTTTTCTTTCCTTTCTTTTGTTCTTGCCTTTGAATTTTGTTAAACCAATTTTAGAGCTTCCCTACCAGTTTCCCCATGACGAAATGGGGGGGGGAATTATGTGTCAAATAATTTCAATGTATTTCTTATCCTTAAGAAAGGCTACGCCAAGTATTCAGAGGACTTGACCCTCCCCACATATCATCTTGTTTTGCTTTATTTTGTTTGGTTACATTCATAAGGCTGCCCAACTCTGTAATGATTCTGGATGGCGTGCAATAAAAACACAAATATAAGGCAGATAAGATACAGAGAGAAGACTCTAAACAATCAGAGGAAACAGTTATTCTAACCATAAGGGAGATGAAGGACTAAGGTCTGGGGGAAGAGCCAAGTTTTCAAGGCTCTTTTAAACATAGAGTGGGGCTCAGATGAATTGCAGTGGGGGACGGGGAGGTGATCCAAAGGGCGCTTCCTGATTCATCACCCATCTTGCTGTTTCTGGAGCCAGATTCAGCCGTTCCAGGACATTTCATATGATAATTGACTGTGCCCTTTTGTAGAAATTCTGATACTGGCAATATATATACACATATATATATACAGTATGTATGTATGTGTGTGTATGTATGTATTTGTGTGTGTATGGGATATATACCCTTACTAGTGATTTATTAAAGGAGTAACCTGGACAAGTCAGCCCTTTTAATTTGATAATAATTGCAAAGCCGCAGTTGAATCTGGTAAATTTTTTTTGGCAGTCGCTACAAAGACAGATAAGAGGGTAATTCCTGTTGAGATGAGTTTGCAGCATTGTCCTGTGGTGGTGTTTCTCAACCTCAGCAACTTTAAGATGCATGGACTTCAACTCCCAGAATTCCCCAGCCAGCATGGGTCCATGCATTTTAAAGTTGCTGAGGTTGAGAAACACTGTCCTGTGGGATTCATCATTCAACAGTCTCTTACATTATAAGGGTGTTTGCAGTTGAAACATATAAACCTGATAAAGTTCTTTTAAAAACAGAAGGATTAATAAACGAATATATTATTGTATTTTTGGCTTCGTTTCAACCTGCCCAGCACATATACAGTATTGTTATATAGAACTTTCTGTACCCTCTTTTTGAATGGGTTTGTGACTGCAATAAATAAATGAGGATATTTAAAGAGCAGCCCCCTAGTTACCAAATGGTTAGGTAGCCACATTGAACAAAAATGCCTCCTTGTCTTGGAAATCAGCAAGTTGTTTTTGAACAGGGTCACCTTCATATCTCTCCGGCAGTCCATGCGGAAGTTGCCCTGATGATCTTAGAAGCTTATCAGAAGTACCTCTCTCAGAAGCCATACAGTGGACTCCTCTCTGAAAGCTTCAAACAGGTGCCCTCACCTTCCATTGCTTTTGAATCTCTCTTAGTTTCTGGTTGAAGTAATAAGTCATATTTAACATGGTTGCTGAAAGAACCCATTTTCTGGATTCTCACAGTACGCTGGAGCATAAATTAAAACAAACTGATCTAGTTTAGACATTGTGTGAATGCATCTGCTGTGGCTATGGGAATTATGGTATGGGGTTCCAGCAGATTTCTTTCTAAAATCAAAACGAAACCTTTTGATGAAACAGCAAGAATGTGCAAGTATTGATTCAGGGCGACAGTTCCCAATGTGGGTAACCTCCTGATACGTGGACTTCAACTCCCAACATTATACACCCAGCATGGTCACTTGCTGTGAATTGTGGGAGTTGAACCCTGCACACTTAGAAGTTACCAAGGCTAGGAATCTCTGCCTTGGGTGGATACTGATCCAGTAAGGATTTGCCAGCATTAGTGAAATTTACATTCTGGCCAAGAGACAATCAAGTTTCAGTAGTAGCTTCCCTGGAAGTCTAATGAAAATGCCAGGGAATTGATAGAAAACATTTCAAGGGCATTCTGTTGCCCAGATCAAGAGGTAGGCATTCTGAGTTGAGATGATAAACCTTTGGTAAATGGAGGCTTCCTTTCTCTTAGTTTAGCTGTTGAAATTAAAATTAGAAGGAGCACCTACGTGGTTTAGACCCATCTAGACCAGTGTTCTGTTCTCATAGTACCCAACCATTTTTTTTTGCAAAAAATACAATAATTAAGATGAAACACATGTCTGAGTTTAAGAGTTGCTAGTTATAGTAATGAGGAGATCAGATACTTTCTCCAGATAGCAAGTGGTGGCTGGGGAAATGATATATAGGCTAGGCCAGAAATCCAGAGCACAAAGGCATGTATTTCTGTCACTTGGAAAAATCAGAGGTAATTTTAGGGATGCTGGCCAAGACTGGAGGATCTTTGGGGCAAGAGGCAAACTGTGAAAATCTTTCAGGAACCTGTGGCCCTCCAAGTGTTGCTATGCTTCCCACAGCCCTAGTTTGCCTGACTAATGGGGGAAATAATGCTGGAAGTCGTAGTTCCAGCGTCATCTGCAACAACTCCCTTGTAGTAGTAGAACTAAGAAATGTTTCTAGGCAGATACTAGAGATGAAGGACATGAAGCAGAGCCATTCCACTGAGGTTTAGAAGGGAGGTAGTTGTTCCTGATCAGCTGGATGTCACTCAAGACCTTGGGGGCTGGGAGCCCACAGCAACACCAGAGTTCCCAGTAGCTAAAAGCTTTTAGGTTGACAACTGGGCAGTTGTTTTAACAATAAAGAACATTTGTTGTGCTGGGGACACAGCACAGATGAACTGAGGGACATGTCGCTTCTCTCTACCAGGTCTCTTATTTGGCCAGCATTGTCCGTTATGGCGAGACCGCAGAAAGCTCCTTTAATCAGTGGGCCTGGGGGATGATTTTGCGATTAAAGCTGCATGTGAATGACTATGGAGTTCAGGGAGACTGGCCTCCAGGACCTGACTTGACAGAATCACCCACCTTTCATCCACTGCTGAAGGCAGTCAGATCTGGCCTCCCAATTGGCTGCTACCTTGCCTTGGCTATGTCAGCTGTTGGCCACAGGTAAGGATTCCTTTTCTTTGTGCTTGTAATGAATGTTTCTTCAACACTTTTGTCGTTTCTTGAAGCCCTGGTAGTTTTTTTCTTATGGCTGAGCTTGGATGTCAGGGTCACCCAGGATTGTAAAGAATTCTGGTTTAGTTGTGATTGAGCAATGTTTTCCTTCATGAATTGCATTTGGTTCCCTCCACCTGCAATATTTAAACATATCTGGACAGCTTCATCTGTGGTTTTGTAGAGGAGTACAGAGATGGCCTTGAAGAAGGAATTCAATGACCGTCATGTAAACATCAGCTTAGCCTAAACAGATAGGAAGGGTTGAGAAAGAAACTCAAGAGTGCCCCACCTTGATTCTCGTTAGTATAAGAGGAAGAGAGAGAATTTCTGTGAGGCTTTCAAGATTCTGTTGTTATACCCTATAACAATAAACTAGAGTTCTAGTAGTTCATGTGATGTCCATTTCCTAACCTGGCTTACCTCAAAGGGTTGAGAGATCTCTTTGATGCTAATGCAGGAACCACAGATTCTGGCCTCTTTTCTTTCTAAGAAAGAAGAATCAATTATGGTTTACCCACTTCAAGTAATGCTGAACAAGACAAAACCAGGATTATCCTGGTTTCCCTCCAATAAAGTTGAAGTGTTTCTATAGGACTAAACCACAATGCTTTACAAATCTCGGTCATCGTGACTTCCTAATGTGAGTCTGCTTAAAAGCCATTCACAGTTGAGCGAAGAGTAGTGTTTTCAGTTGAAAATTGTGGATGAAGAAGCAGACAGTGCAGTCCCAGTGACCGTTCTTCTCATCAACCACAGCAACATCTGCCAATCAGGTTTCATACTAGCAAAACAAATTTAGCTTAACTCCTATATTGCTAATTCTGTTGAGTTCAGCCAAAGAACTAAGTGTGTTTTCTTCCCATGCTTGGAAGAAATCATGGAAAGAAATTGGAAAGGATTGCTTGGAATATTCTCATTTCTTTCTTAGAACTACAGTTCTCAAGGCTCTTTGTAGGAAGCCATAGCATTTAAGCCAATGTAGGATGGAGTTTGTAATGAATTAATATGTGGATGGATAGAACATCTGAGAGTCTACTTTCCTATCTAACTTAAAGAAGACCCTGAAAAGGAGAGGTTTGATACCAGGAGTTGAAAAATATCTGTCCTCAAAATTAATCAAGTTAAAAACCAAATGGAAGCCCAGTTTTTGAGTGTTATTCCTCGGTCCTTCATCTATCTTTGAGTGCAATCTTGGATTTAGTATCCATGAATCTGCAAAATGACATTTGTTCTGTTTTTTTATCTTGACAGTATTGAGAAGTTCTGTGCTGAAGGGATCCCTTACTTGGGCATTCTAGTACAGTCACGGCATTTGAGAACAGTAGTTCATGTGCTGGATAAAGTTTTACTTTTGTTCTACCCATGCCAGTATTACCTTCTCAAGAATGAAAAGTAGGTTCAAATTTACTTTGATGTTTATCATGGTTTGGCTGGTCTTTTAATGACATTAGTATCCAACCCTTCCCAAAGGACCTCAGAGTGATGTACATGAAATCCAAGAAGTCTTGCTGAGGTCCCATCACTGAGGCAATGTCACATTCCAGAACCCCATGATTAAGCCTTCTGGTGATGATCCCCCATGCTCTGAAAAACCCTCCTTTGGATATCTAGACCACCTATTCTTTTTATGTTTCCAAAGAACTGTGAAAATCTGGTCCTTTAAGATGATGACTGGGGATGAGTAAGACCATATTATTCCCAAAACGTGGGTTGACAGATGGATTGTATTTTTTGTGGGAATGGATTTTGTTATTACGTTTCAGTCCATTTGTTGGTGTACTCTAAGCCACTTCCAGTCCCTGGAAAGGGAGTGGCCTATGTACCAAATAAATAAATAGGGTTTTGCCAACAATTCAGGAAGGCCCATCTTACAGGGAAATGTGCTTCATCTCTACTTGATCAGCAGTGGTGGGTAGAACTTTTTGAGTTTGAAACATGTAGACTTCGAAAGAAATTCTTCTGGCTTTCCCAGAAGTGTTCAGATGCTGTTCTGACCATTCCAGAAGTATTTTGCATTCCAGATAGTGCCAGAACACCCTGTTTTTCATTCAAAAGGATTTTGCATACCCCCACCCTTTGCCTCTGCAACCCAGTTTTGTTGGCTCAGACTTTCAGCAGTAACAGAAGATTTTTCTCATCGTTTTTCCACCAAGCTGCCCCTGCTGGAGATTTGAGGGTTTGAGCCCATGACCTCTAATGTAAGATTTGTCCTCTGGCACTGAACTACAATGCCTAGTGTGAACAGCTCCGTAGGTTCATTGCAGGTGAGGGTCTTTCCCACTTGGAAATGATCACAAGGAACTTTGCGAGGCAAAATTGGCTGTGACTGAGCTGGTATTTTGTGTCCAGAGAATAACTTTTATTTAGAAGTGCAGATCTCCCTGCCACAAATATTCTGTCTTGAGACTCTGGCCACTGAAATGATAGTATCTACAAAACACAGCAAGAGACAACTGCATTTCTTTTCAAATTCTCATCTTTTAGTAGCTGAGAGCTTCAGAGGTTAGGGTGCTGACATCATTACATTTTCAGGGACAGTAATTTCAACCCAGACTTCCTCTTTTTTAATCTTTAAAGATGAATAAACCTTTGGTATGCTTGTTAAGTGAAATAATTTTAGCACACTTATTTAATTTCTGAATAACCATCAGCTTTAGTGTGCTTTGGAGGCTGCAGAAAAGAGACTTGGGCCATATGCAGTTTGCCTAATCCCTAAAATCAGCCTCACCGTTTTTCAGGATCTGTCCAGCCCTTGTTCCTCGAAGTACCTGTCTTGAATGTAAGGGATAAGGAAGGCTACATGGTGCTTTCTGTGTTTTGTAGATAAGGCACTAGTCTTAGCAAGTGGGATTGGAAGCTAAGCAGGGCCAGTTCTGTTTAGTACATGAATGAGGAACAACCTGGGAATTCCAGCGCTGTAGCCTAGACTAGGAAATGTTTAAAAATATCAGAAGACAATAGCAAACCCTTTCCATAATGTTGCCAAAAGAACTTTATTTATTTAAAACATTTATTTAGCCGCCCATCTTGTACCAAACTCTGGGTGGCCCCCCACCAAAAAAAGTAAAACAACATCTATTTACAACAAAAATATTAAAACCAACAATATTAAAACCAAAAAACCTGGCACCATAGCTAAACTTTCCCATGCAGCCCACAACAAGTTCATCTCACCAGTCTCACTCTATCGTAGCACTTGGGGGAAAAGCCAGGTCTTGAGTGCTTTGGGGAAGGTTGAAAGGGTGGGGGCCTGCGGAACTTCAGGGGGAAGGGTGTTCCATAGGGCAGGGGCTGCCATGGAAAAGGTACATTTCCTAGATCCCATAAGATGGCAACATTTAAGGAAGGGGACTAGGAGCGTTCCTACCCTATCCAATCTGGTAGAATGGGCAGACGACCTTAGGGAGAGGCAGTTCCACAAATAACCTCATCCCATGCCATAAAGGGCTTTAAATGTAATAGCCAGCACCTGAATTGCATCCAACTTGATGGATTTGTCTGGGAAGTCACCAGTGGTGGAGCTTGACTTGAAGCAGACATTGGTTTTAGGTTGGGGAAGGCTACTTTAGATCTTAATATTGTCAAGCTCTTTTATATTGTTGCTCAACCTTGATATCTGCTGCTGCAGCTGAGTCAGAAGGCTCTTTTAGCAGTATGATGCAGGGAAGAGTTCAGTTGGGGTATGAACTGAGAAGTTTCTGCCTTTGATCGGATAATTAGATGGCAAACTTGTTTGTGGCTTTCCTAGGTTTCTCTCCTTCTTCCACCAGTTTCTTCAGCTGGATAGTGGTGTTCCCCAAGGGATGACTCAACAGATGACCCACAAAGTGGCTCAGCACTTGACTGGGACAAGTTATGGCGAAAACGTTAAGCTGTTGAACTCCATGATTCAGGTCAGGAAATAGACGCACATTAGGGATCCCTGAAGACCATTATTTTGGGTTCAGTTAGATAAGCAGGACTAGTATCACACTTAAAACTGAGTATAGGAGTTGTCCGCAGAAAATTCCAGGTCCAAACTCCAGAGACCCAAGGTTGGGCTGTGAAAACTTTGAAGGATCTGTTGCTAATCACTGTTAGTAATAGTAAGCTAGGTGAAACAGTAGTCAGACTAAGGATACGGGGGTTTCCTATGTGTAAGTAGGAATTAAGGTTCAACAACAAACCAGGTGCAGAATATTGAGTAACTATTGAAGATAGTCTTTCAGGTTTCCCCAGACCCAAACAGTGACTTCTGAGAATCTCCATATACAGGTTATGGAGGTAAGGTAATGTGGCAATCTTGGGTTGCCATCTCATGTTTTATGAGGAGGATGCCCACTAGGAAATAGATCTATGTTTGTGGCATCGGAATATGCCAGAAGGGTCTCACAACGTAAGAATTGGATAAAGATTCAGAAGATCATTATGTAAACAGCCAGCTGTAAACTTTTCCATTATCAGTGAAGTGACCTGCCTCCTTGTCAGATCATTGGAAGAAAATCAAAAAGTATCTATTATAACATACACAGGAATAGATTGGGCCTAAATGGAAAATAATTCGGGTGCTGGAATTCTTGTAGCCCCCTCTCTTTCTTCTCAGTAAATCTTGCTGAAGAGAACTTAGGGAGATTTGTGTTTGCAAAGAATCATGTTCAGCTTCAGGCAGCTCCAAAGAGTCTGGTAAAACCCTTTTCCAGCCTGTGGTTCTCCAGATGTTTTGGACTTTGATCACCCTGGATAAGAATCATGGAGTTGGAGTATGACAGACCTGGAGGTTCTGGGTTGGGGTAGGGTGATATAAAAAATGAAGTTCCAGGCAACTGGTTTTTAGGAGAAGCATGGAAAATGATGGATGAGAAGAACATCAGCAGCATTTATTGCCTGGGGCACAAATGAAGGGTATCAATCTGGACAGGGAGGGAGACTTAACTCACTGAGATGTTGTAGTTCAGTCCATATGCAACTACACACACATCTCACAACATTCTTCCTGTGAGGAGCATATTTGCAATGTTGAGATCATGTTTTGAGTGCTCCCCCAACAAGGCTGTCTTGGGCTACTCGACTGTTCAAAAAATGATGGTGGCTAGTCCCCAAATATTCTGTTTACCAGAAGGCAACCTGATGAGATGGCTTCCCACCTTTAGGTCTCCAAGTTGCTCCTTATCACCTCTGCTTAGTGTTTCCCTTTAGTTCTGTTACCTATTGCACCACATACTGTGGAGCTGGCTCTCTTTCCCTTTTTACGGTGAGTTATTTGATCATTCCTCCCTTTCCTTTGACAGAGTCACATTTTTATGAGCAGCCACCCCGGTGGAGTTGGTCCAGCTGCTGTGTTAGAATTCTGGGTCCAGGTCCTCACCAGCCAGCTGCTCTGGTACAAGGAGAGAGCCACCCTCTGCTTGATGGATGGTTTGTGCCAAGCAGCATTTCAGTTCAACCAAGAGGACTGTGTGCAGAAGTTGCTCTATCAGCAACACAAGGTATGGGGCCTGATCCTCACTGATTTTCACACAAAGGACTGTGTCATAGAAGAATCAACAGAATTGATTGAGATCTTACGCGGTGGGATTAGTGAAACGCTGCAAGATTTGTTAATTTTGTTCCTGAGATCTCTCATGAGATTCTGGCGGTCTTGCAACATTTTGTCCATTAAAAAAAAAAACATATTAAAAAAAGTAATTTTTTTGCAGGTTCAGAGATACTGTCTAGGAATATTATAGGTCCGTCGGCTCCTGCAGCCAAGCCCTAGTGAAATCCAAGAGCCTGGGTAGAAATACTTCTATAGTTTGCTTCTATTTGTATTTTTTTTTGAATGGAGGGACTCTTTTTGTTTGTTTTCGTGCATTAGAAATATCCTTTTTATCAGAACGTGCATAAAACGTGGCACACACATAAAAAAAGAAGCTAGGATTCAATTTTTTTCATTTACAAAAAGAAAAACTGGATTATTCCATTCTCTAAGAGTGAATCTGTTAATGGGAGCTGATTAAACGGGGTCTATGAATTAAATAGCTATATTTTTAGGAATGATGGTTGTAAATGAATCTCCTTGTTCCATATTAACCTGAATGCATCACATAATGCCATGATTTATTCATTAACTGAATCACAATTGTCTGAATTTGCACAACACTCTAAGCCATAAACTATGTTTTATAAACCACAATGGTTGGGTTCTCAGCAGACTTTGCCAGATCCAAACAAACTGCTTGATGGGTTGACATGATTGTTTAAAGTGGACTTTCCATGGTTCTAACCAGGGACCAACATTTATTTTTGGAAGTTCAGTCACAGAAAATGTAGGTTGCTTATGCTCCGTTGTTATGGAAGGACTCTGTAAGAATGCAGCTTTATCTCACCCGCATGTTTTCTCTTACTCAAAACTCCCAGAATGCTCTGGGCTATCACTGTGACAAAGGGCTCCTCTCTTCCTTGGTCAGCTGGATTGTGGCAGGCAACATCACACCTTCCTTCATCGAGGGAAATGCTAATCCCACGCAGGTAAGAAAGTGCCATGGAGTTGATGTGCCAAAGTTTGCTTGGAGTTGATGGCCCATTCTTGGCTTCTCATGAAACCATCTTCTTCGGTTGGCTAAGATGATCTTCCCAGGCCACCTGGGGAGATGTTGCTGTGCTTTCTATTCTTAAATCCATTGGCCAGTGTTGCTTTGCAATTTACAGGTTTGGTTTGCATGGAGCGTTCTGAATATGGAGTCCATATTTGAAGAAGATTCCCAGCTTCGTAGAGTTGTAGTGAGGGAGTTAGTTACCAGTTCTGTTTCACCTGAGCAGGCTCTGAAGGTAAATCAGAAAAGTTTTTTTTTTAATTTATCTATAACATCTCTGTAGCTCCCCTGCCCCACCACCTAAAGAATGTGGGATATGGCCTTGGTTTTGATATGGAGGGTGCCAAACCTTATTAGACTTCATTTAAGGTTAGGATACCTTTGGTTAACTGATGCTACTCTCCATTTCTTCTTGAATGATATCCCATGTTAATGCCTTTATGATTGTAATATATGTTCTTAGAGATTTGATTCAGTTATTCATTTTTAAAAAGTTAACTGTTTTATTTAAACATTTTTTTAAACAATTGTACTGTATCTCTGTTCTGGGATGACAGTGCTATATAAAACTGGATGAATCAACTTCTGGAGGCAGCCTAAACTTTCTTCCTTTCTTCTGCTGGCAGAAAGCTCAGGCCCAACTCAAGCTGCCAATTGTTCCTTCTCTTCAGCGCCTGCTGATTTACCGTTGGGCTCATCAGGCCCTAAGCACTCCAGTGGATCACCCCCTCCTTCCACTTATTTGGCAGAAATTCTTCCTTCTCTATTTGCATCGCCCGGGATTGCAGGATGGGTGAGTTATCATTGGGTTAACGATGGGAGACTTGCTTGGATTGTGTGAGTTGTTTGGAATGCCGAAAACCCGTGTTTAAGGACAGTACAGACTATATGGGAAAGGTCTCCATGTACCCCTATGTCCCAGAGCACCCTAGCCAGTCCAGGGAGTCTTTCTTCTCTCCATATGTCACAGCTTGGCCATGCTGTCTGGGAGCTGATGAGAATGATTGAACTCCGAAAAACCCTCAAGTTGCCTACTTCGGTAGGAATCACATGGAGCTGATGAGGATGGATCTTCTGTAGTCTCACTACTTGGGATTGGCCAGGAGATCTGCATGCAATCATGCAATTTACTGAGCTGCTTCCTGTCTTTTTGGGAATGCAGGGAGGACTGGGTGTGATAAACCTGTTACACAGGCCAAGACAACAAACAAGAAAAAGAGGATAGAGAAAAGGCAAAAGGAAAGCTGTAGTGACAGGAAGCATCTTAGAAGGCTAGAGAGAGTGGATGTGGGTGTCAGGCCCAGCCCAAGAACAACAGGGAAACAGTCCATCCAAGTTCAGTTCCTTTAATGCTTATGCCATATAGACAGAATCTTGCCAGACTAAATCTGTACTACTCTAACCTAGTGGATGTAACCTGGGAGATTCTAAGGAGTGGCCATCCTAAGTCTCTTCCTCTTCCCACACTCCTGCTCCGGACTGTGCTGTCTCTTGTCTCTCCCTGCTTCCTGGAATGTCCTCCCTCCTTCCTGAGAACTTGCTGCTCCATTGCATTCCATCACATCACCTCCCCGTTCATAGATGCATTCCATCACAGTGGGGGCTCCAGATTAACTTATGGGAAATGGATGTTTAGTGGTTGGCCATGCCCATCCCCTTCTGTGAATGTGCAGTGAACCCTTGGACGACCATTTTATGAGGAGGTCCATGACAAGCTCTCAAAATTCCCATGTGCCCAGCAGCCACCAAAAGCTGGGAGTTCCTGCTTTCAGACTTCAGGGAAGTCTTTCTAATTCCTCTCTTCACACCACTTTTGTTATGTAAGTACTGGCTTTACATTATATGTGAACAAGAACTTGTGGAAAAGACGTTTTCTAAAATAGAACTGATTTGTCGCATTGAAGGGTGACAGTTCGTTGGACAGTTTCCATCTGGTGCCCTTTTGAAGCTCTTGATTTGTTTTGCTTCCTTGGCAAACTCAGCTGACTACACTCTCACACAATTCCCATACATTTCGCTAAATTCACTTCTCATAGGTTTTATTATGAATGGCCCAGGAAAGTATATTATATACTCTCGTGCAGATAGAAACTTAGTCATTCCCAAAATTTGTCCTTTTCCAGCAATTTAACAGGGTTCTTGGCAAAGATCCAGTGCAAAATGTATATGCCATGGTTAAAATATGTATGTTTCAAAGAATGCCTTTAAAAGATGTGTAGATTTAAAAAAAAAAATAAGCATCAGAGTGGGAAAGGAGTGGACTATTGAGTGGGTGCATGTGAAAGTAACATGGCACAGAAGCATGCTGTTAATTACATACCATGAATACTAAAATAAGTTGATTTGTGTTGGTTGTAAATGACAGGATTTCTGCTTTTAAGGCTACCCAAAGATGGCTGTATTGGGAAAAGATTTTTCCAGAGTCCTGCTCATCTTAGCCTATTGAATGACCTGAAACAGCGCCTGATTGAGACAACTGACTTCCACCATTCAGCTAGCAAAGTGCTCCAATTGGACAGCCCAGCAGGTGGAAGTGAAACTCCAGCAGAAAAAGGGTTCAGCAAGATCAATTACATAACTTCCCTAGAACTTCACAAGGAGCTTGTCAGGTAATTGCTGAGGGCCTTTCCTTCAGCAAAATCTAGGCTGGTGTTTCTCCAAGGACCTCTGCTAATATGAGAATCCAAGATGCACGGCCTTTTAGAACACAAGATTGGATGGAAATCCACCAAGATCTGTCCTGAATTGTCTTAAGCTGCAGTTACAGTTATCCAAACTTCATCCACGATTTTGTCAGGACAGGCAGTGGGTAGGCTAGCTGGATTGAACCGGCCAGGCTCCTGCTTCAGATGAGCTCAGCAGAGCTTCTGGGTTAATGCAGCTAAGCTTCAAGTATGGCTTTAGGAAGCATTAGAACTGGGGTGAGGCTTTCATGTTCCTTTAGTTACTAAACTATATCTCCCAGCATTCCTTGCCATTAGCCCTTCGAGCTGGGGCTGCTAGATGATTTGGTTGAGCAACATAGGGAGGGCACCTAGTAGGGCTGAGCAATCTGCATCTCACATATAGTGCCCCCCTTACTCATTTTGAGACCACTGGGACCCTCTGAGATTGCATCATTTTGTAGCAAAATACAGAAATTTATTGGCATGGCTTTGGGATCTACGAGCCTTAACCTGCCTATTATTTAAAAACAAAAACAAAAAATCAGAAATGGCCCACAAGCTCCTCCAAGGTTCTTTAGTAGTGTCATTACCATATCCTTCCCCACGGCCCTCAGGGATTGCTTTTTCTTATTCAGAGGAGAGATCAGTATTGTAAAAGCTCTTAACAGATGGGGCTGCTATTTCTCAGTTTAAGGATTCCTGAAGTTCATCAATGCATATTTGCACAGTGAGCTAAATAAACTTGGAGTGAAGATCTTCAAAGAGTTTTGAAGCATGCCACCAAATCTATAAGACACTGAGTGATGCTGCTTTCTTGGGAAACGTGGCAATATTTGTTTGACTCTTCTCCAGCAGGACTCGACAATTGCTTCCCCCAAGGACTTGGGGGAGGGAAACCTTGACATTATCTCCCAAGATTTTGCCTCAATTATCCATGAGACCTTTTAGAAAACTAAATTTCCCAATGCGGTCTTGAGGATGAAGTGGTTCCATTATGAACAAGCCAACTTGCTTAGTTGTGGAACCCCCAATAGGTTTTTGAGGAGCTCTGTGGCTTCCTGACTGTTTCTCAGGTAATTTATGAAACTGATTATGTCATACCTTGGAAGCAATTGGGATTTAGTCTGGTCCTTTTTATTTATTTTGCATAATATACAGTGTGAAGATACTTGTGCGTGTTACATAACAACCAAGTGAGCTCCAACTTCAAACCTTCTGTTTTTGGTATTTTTTCAGGCTTTTTTCCACATTTGTTCTATGGCTGGAAGAAGAAAGGTTTCAGAAAGGGGACCCCTATATTCCCTCTTTGCCAAAGCAATATGATGGACATCGGCTTGCCAAGATCATGCAGAACCAGCAGGTGAAAATGAGTGGATCAGTTGGGTCTAGGATGTGTAAGGATGATTTTGAAATTGTTTTTGCCATACCTCTTTGGGGCATCAGGCACCTTCTAAAACCTACCAGACAAAATCATTTCCTGCTTAACTCCAAAGAAAGTCCAGATTGGCTGTTTAGAGTCAATGTTCCATGTGAATCATGGCTGGGGCTGTTTGAATTACTCCAGATGAACTGAGACAGGAGAAGGAGGAGGAGTTTCTTATGAGAGTAGTGGGATTAATTCTCCAATTGCTTTTTAGGTTTGGGAGATCTTAGAGCTGTTTTGTAGACTTCTGCAGGGGCAGTTTCTGAGTAGACCTCTTAGGATCACGCTTAAAGTGATGAAAATGGACTTCAGAGGACACTTTATTTATTTTATTATATCTATCTATCTATCTATCTATCTATCTATCTATCTATCTATCTATCTATCTATCTATCTATCTTCCTTCTTCCTTTATCCTTTCCATGGACTCCTTTGTTAAGATAGATGTATCTTTACCTAACTTCCTGAAGTAATGATAATCCCTGCCAGGTTTCAAGATGGAGCCTCAGGAAATTCAGCTTGGGTTTTAATCAAGATTTCATGCAGAGCTGTGTCTGGACATGACATTCAGAATAGCTACTTACTGGGTTAGTGCACCAGTTATATCTCTTTCTGGTGCCTTCCAGATATAATGGATTTTGGTGCTCATTAATAGCTTCTCCCCCCGCCAAATGATAGGATCAGTGACCTTGTACCTAGGGATGAGGAGACTGGTAGTTCAGCATATATGGAGGGCACCAGGTTGGAGAAGACTGCACCGAATCTTGTTTCCAGAAAATGCATGCCCCTTCCAGCAGGTATTAGAATTGCATTTCAAGCAGGGAATGGAACTTGTCAGTAGGGGTCAGTGACTTCTCAGTTCTGATTCACTGTTGATTTGACAAATCATTTTGATTTAGAGAGAAGTACAATTGTACGCATACAAGGGTGTCTCAGAGCTTCCATTCCATTTGACATCCATGCTACTTGGCAGCCACCTCAACAGGGGAGTAAATTAAAGTGGGTGCTTTAATTGATCTTACTGGCAATAAAAATGTCTGGTTCTCCCTATTGCTGCTTCTTGCTGTCTCTGCTGCTGGGCTGTAGGATCTGTGGATAGAATTTGTCAACGTTCAGCAGATTCAGCATGAATTCCAGGAAACATTAGACCTCTGGTTTCAAGTCAGAGTGGGATCCCATCCTGCCTCAAGTGTTTCGCCAGTGCAGACAGACTTCACCGACCCTTTGCTAGGTAAGTCATACATTTGGTGTTGTCAGTTGCTGAAGCTTTTACCTTGCAAATACAGGCAAAGAATTTTGGGGCACAACAGCTCATGGCCTACATGTTTATTATTGCAGGCCACTTGATCAGATATTTGTCATGTTGTCCTGCAGGAGAGTATTACACAATTCAGCTCTTCTTTTGCGGGGTTAGATGGAAGCATTGTTACATTGATAAACCGGATGACCTGTTCTTGTGAAAAAAAAATTGGCTTCTTGTTCAGTTTTGAGAAATGGTGTTTAGTGTCCCAGTGATTTCTGGTTCAGCTTTTTCATGTTGTAACTTCTTTTTTTAAGGATTGCTGCCATCCTGACTTTTTAAAAAAACATTTTGGGTGAACATACTTTTTTTTTAAAGGGCTGATCTAGGCTGGTACTATTGTAGACAGAAATGGGAGAGGTTGACCCACCTGCTTCCTTTCTACCCATGTTTCACACACTGAAGTCATTCCCTCATTCCAGTGTGGCATGAGGAAGTGAAAATTAAATAACAGAGAGGCAAAGTTCCTAGAGCAGCCCCATTTTTGGTAGTTACCCTAGGATTACATTTTTCTGTTGCCAGGAAAAACAGAGGGTTGATCAGAGGAAGTTCATTTAGTTCTAAGATACCCAAAGTTGCTTTAAGCTAAAATTAACTATCTTTAATCTCAGGGATGATTGGATTATACCAGTGTTTCTCAACCTTGGGAACTTGAAGATGTCTGGACTTCCAACTCCCAGAATTCCCTAGCCAGCATGGCTGGCTGGGGAATTCTGGGAGTTGAAATCCAGACATCTTCAAGTTCCCAAGGTTGAGAAATACTGGATTATACAGTTCACACAAAATGGTAACCTTGCCCATGAGTCAGTTAAATGTGTTGTGTGAATAGAGACTATGGATTTGAATGATTCTTTTTTTAGGGGGGGAAGCTAAAAGTGAGAGAGCTGTTCTTCTGGGTCTTTCTTCTACTGGATTACTCCTGGGAACAAGTGCAGCCCTGCTTTTATTTTTATATATTTTTTAACTGTATTGGATGCGAAGTGTAGTTTGAGAAATACTTGGTTTCAATCCATTAATTGCTTTCCTCTGTCAGAGGAACCTGAATGGATGTGGTTGTATTATAGAACTTGGTTGTAAACAATGAATGTTGTGGTGTTCTAGCTGAAAATGTGTAAATACTGTAGTGGCCAGGTGGTTCCCTCTATAAGGTTGCCCTTATATGCCCAGTGTATAGTTTCATAGTACTTTCCAGAAAATTAACTATTGCATGGGATGGTCTTGGTCCAAGTCCATGGTAGTTAAAGATATTGGTGTTATTGAACCCTTATTGAACCTTATTAGGGCTTCTTCTCCTGGAGCTAGGTGATAAAGTTATTATCAGTAAATCTCAGATACAGAAGAGACTTTTGTGGACAATTGCTGAGAAAGCATTATTCTAAGTCAGCTATAAAGATGTCAGCATACATAGTTCCAACAGCTATGCTGTGGATCTGAAGCTACACTCCCCCCCCCAACTAAAAAATGACCCATGAACATAAAGAGGAAGAGCTTGGTGTCCAAGGATGCTGTGGTATCTTCAGGGGCAACGTATCTAATGCTGCACCTTCCGTTGTTACAGAGGACAGTCAGTGTCCATGATGCACAGGATGGTGTCTTTCCAGACTATTGTTGGTTGCAGGCTTTTAAGATGCCGAGTGATCTGGAAAACAAAGACCTCCCAAATATATTCATCATCCAGAAAGCAAGAATTGGTGGTGAATGCTTTGCATCTCTTCTTTTTTTTTTCAGCCAGGGAGAGAATTATCAGCAGCTTAAAGAAGTATGATGAGCCCCAGCCCACTCTGCCCCTTCAGCCAATGAAAGCTCCTGTGCCTGTCATTTCTCCTGCTAGCTTGGTAAACCAACACGAAGCCAAAGAATTGACTTGCACTAACCTCAGTGTCTTGCAACAGCATGCTAAGTAAGGATCGCTCCTCTCCTCTCCTCTCCTCTCCTCTCCTCTCCTCTCCTCTCCTC